ACCAACAGCAAATGCCGCCTCTGTAATGAGAAAGATGAAACAGTTGATTATTTATTTATGTATTTATTTTATTTATTTGATTTGCCAATTGTTTACAAGATAATAAGTATAAGCGTATACATAGTTGTGAATACATGAAATGGGTACATATAAGAAAAATAAAAGAATAAGAGAAACAATAGTACAGGGACGGTAGGCACGTTGGTGCGCTTATGCACGCCCCCTAATCAGTGGGTGCAGCAAAATTTCACAAACTGACTATTTAGAATACCATAATTGAGTTGCTAAAATTATTCACTGGAAACTATGTCAAACGTTTGGATTTGAGTATAGTAACAACTACTGGGAACATCAGGTTGAGAAGGAGAACATCTGGAGCAGAGGTGGTATTCAGCAGGTTCTGACCAGTTCTGGAGAACCGGTAGCGTAAAATTTGAGTAGTTCAGAGAACCGGTAAATGCCACCTCTGACTAGAGATTTTACAGTATCCTACCCCTGCCACACCCACCAAGCTACGCCCACAGAACCAGTAGTAAAAAAATTTGAATCCTACCACTGATCTGGAGAATGAAAAAGTCAAGATCTTGTGGGACTTCAGAATTCAGACAGATAGGCATTTGTCCCACAACACACCTGACATAGCAATAGTTGAAAAGAAAAAGGGTTGGTTCATTGGCATGGCAATACCTGGTGATGCACGAATTTAAGTTAAGCAGCAAGAAAAAAATCCCAAAGTACCGGGTCTTACAAATTGAAGTTGAGCGACTTTGGAAAAAGAAATCATTTGTTATCCCAATTGTAATTGGAGCCCTTGGAGCAATACCTAAAGGGCTGCCTCGCTATTTGGAAATCCTGAATTTATCAGACTTGAACACCTTGATTCTACAAAAAAACCACCCTACTTGGAACAGCTTATATCTTCCAACGCTACCTGAACAGTCCCTAGGTCCTTGGTTAGGACTCGAGCTGTTGAGTTATCAACCAGCCCCAAAGGCTGTGAATCTCACTAAAGATTAATGCAGACATAAGACAATAAATACTGTGGCAATTAGGAGCTATTCCTCCAATATAATAATAATAATATTCCAATTATAATATTATTTCTTCAATGCTACTAAATATTGAATGTTCCGATGCTAATGAAGATGACACCAGATTTAGCCACTTTTCAAATTTTTCCTGCTTGTTCCAGGGGTGGGATTCTACCGGTTCTGTCCGGCTCTGTAGAACCAGTAGCTCTGAAGAGCAGCAGACATAGAACTGGTTCTATGTCTGCTGCTGTTTTGGCCCCCACCGGCTCACCTAGGCTCTTACCTGACCTTTATTTCCTGGTTTTTCAACCTCAGCTGCTTTGCTCGGCACAGCTGCAGTTGAAAAAGCAGGAAAAAAATGGCTTTTCAAACGCTGTGCAGCTGCGTTCAGCGCTGGTCAGCTGTCCAGGCAGCAAGCTGATGATTCACACGTGCACAAAGCACACATGTGGGAGCAAAACATAAAACACCAAACCAGTGGTTACACCGGTCAGATCCCATCCCTGGCTTGTTCTGTCATTATTTTTATATGCACTGTTATATTCTAGATTTCATGTTTATTTCTTCTTGTATAACTTATATATGCACATACTTGTGAATCATTGCATATCTGTTTGACACACATGCACACATACACTCACAAACATGCCTTTTAGATTCTACAGGTATTCCTCGACTTACTATAATTCATTTAGGGGCCATTCAAAGTTACACATCACTGAAAAAAAGTGACTTATGGCCGTTTTTCACACTTATGACCATTGCAGCATTCTCCATGGTGACTTGATCAAAATTCAGATGCTTGGCAACTGATTCATCTTTATGACGGTTGCGGCATTCCTGGGTCAGGTGATCACAGTTTGGGACCTTCTGATAAGCAAACTCAATGGGAAATCCAGATTCACTCAACAGGCATGTTACCAACTTAACAAATGCAATGGTTCACTTAACAACTGAGGCAAAAAAAGTCGTAAAATGGGGCAAACTCACTTAACCAATGTTTCGCTGAGCAACAGAAATTTTGGGCTCAATTGAAGTCGTAAGTCAAGGACTACCTGTGTATCTTTTTTGGCCTTATGGCTGTAATACATTTCTTTGATTTGAATTGAGAGAAGTGCACTGCCCTCCACCACCATCTGCACCTAGGCCAAGACAAGAAATCAAAAACAATTCCTTCCGATAAGAATGCACATAAATACAGGTAGTCCTTGACTTACAACAGTTCATTTAGAGACCATTCAGAGGGATAAGGGGACTGAAAAAAGTGACTTATGGATGTTTTTCACCGTTACAACCTTTGAAGCATTCCAACAGACACAGGACCAAAATTCAGATTCCGGCCAACCGGTTCAAACTTTTGAACATTGCTGCTTCCCAAGTCCATGTGATTCCCTTTTGTGACCGTCTGGTAAACAAAGTCAATGGGAAACCAGACTCATTCAACAACCAGGTTACTAACTTATCAACTTCAGTGATTCACTTAACAACTGGGGCAAGAAAGGCCATAAAATGGGGCTCAACTCACTTAGCCAATGTCTCATTTAACAACACAAATTTGGGGGTCCATTGTGGTCGTTAAGTCGAGCATTACCTGTATTCAGAGAAGGCAAACAACCTAACCCTGTTTTGATAAGATGGAAATTCCTGGTTCTTTTGACTTAGAGTTCCTCTTCCTTTGACTAAAAGAAAAAAAGCAGAATTCTCTCAGGTTCTGCTTCCTTAATAATGGAGAACTTTGGTTACAAATAGTACAAGTAGATTACTACTCAGACTTATATCTTCAGAGGCACAAAAACCAGTGGTGGGATTCAATTTTTTTTACTACCGGTTCTGTGGGCGTGGCTTGGTGGGCGTGGTGTGGCTTGGTGGGCGTGGCTTGGTGGGCATGGCAGGGGAAGGATACTGTAAAATCCCCATTCCCTCCCCACCTCACTAACCTGCTTTCCAGCTCCGTTCTCCTGTGCAAGGCAACCAAAGAAGGCCCAGCTGATCACTCGTCAGAGCCTTCCCCAGACTCCAGGACTGGCCCGTGTTCCTCCCCAACCTCCTCACTGTCCAAGTCTGCTGCCAGCTTTGCTGGCCACTAGCGGGCCACAACAATCTGGTTGACTGGCAAAGACCAAGGCAGATGGGCCCTCAGAAGTTAAGAGTCCCTTTGACAATCTCCCCTGCATACCTCACTCACCTTGTGAGGGCCTCAGATCCTCTTGCCAGGAAGAACCGTTTGATAAACAAGCGATGCACGCTGCTCTTCTCCATTCTTCCTTCCAGTAATCTTAAATGTTAATGGAGATTCTCACTCATCCAGGTGCATGTTGTACCAAGGTTGCTTTTTCAAGAGGCAACTAAATTTTCTTGTTTTTCTTTGAAGACATTTCGCATCTCATCCAAGAGAAGAAGAAAGTGAAGAAGAAGAAGCTTCTTGGATGAGAAGCGAAACATCTTCAAAGAAAAACAAGAAAGTCCAGTTGCCGCTTGGAAAAGCACCTTTGGGACAGTAATCTTAACAAAATGGAGAAGAGACTTGGAAAATGAAATTCATCATCATCATCATCATAAAAAAAGACCAATCATCCACTGGATGGTTATTGCATAGGATAGCATTTTATTTATGTTTTTAACTAATGATCTTGGGGTGAATTTGAAATAGAGGTGGCCGCTGGCTGTGGGAAACAATGGGATCGTCTTGAATCCGTTGTTTTTTAGATCCTCACTTACAACTATTCACAGGGCTGGCGGCACTTCAGCAACAGCTTAAAGCGAGATGGAGATTGCGAAACCCCAACGTGTGGTGTGAAATCTGGAGCTTGGGATTTATCTGGCCACGATAACTGGAAGTTCCTGAGAATGCTGGTGAAGAAGAAGAAGAGCTCCATCCGAGCCAGGTTTTCCCCTAAGCAGACTCTCCGCCCTGAAAAGGTCAAGCAAAGGAGAGAGAAGCCGTTCAGACAGCTGAAGACTGACAAATTATTCCAACCATGGACCATCTTGGCCCTCCACAAAATGATCCTAAATTTCACTAAATTGCCTAAGTTGGTGAATTTTTTTGCCTTGCTTTATTTTTTAAAAGACTCACCTTCTCAAATTGATCTGTACCTCTTTCCTCTCTCATTTCTTTTCATCTCTGATTCTGACCTTAGAGATCAGACACTTACCCAGGGGTAGGATTCTACTGGTTCTCACCTACTCGCTAGAACCGGTTATTAACTTTCTAAGCAGTTTATAGAACTGGTTGCTGGAAGAAATATCCTTTTTTTCCCTACCCTTATTACATTCTTGGCAGTATGCCTAGACTTACTGTCTCTGAAGGAGTTTTTTTTTCCTTTGCTGGTATTTTCTTAAAGGGGAAGGGTTGTTTTAAGCTTTTTACACTGCTGTTGGGAGGAAATACTCCCCTGTTGGGGTTCTTCCAGCCAGGATCAGCATTTTGAAGAAATAATTGAATAACGAAGCAGAGCTGCCGACAATAAGCTTTTAATGATAAGGAACCAAGATGAGTGACATTCAGCAAGGCTTCTTGGCTAGCTAGAAAGATTGACATTCAAATGTGAGTTTACATACCTTTTCTGAGTTTTGATCTAAAACTTGTTTTTGGTGAAGTTTGATTCTGTGCTTGGTGACATTTAATCCTGTATTTATTGATGGGATAATTTTCCCTATTCAGCTTTGTTTGGAAGGAAAAAGGTTAATCTCTGTTCCTGAAAAGAAACTGGGTTGAGAAATCTGGCTAGCTCCTGTGTCTATTTGTTCTGGTAATTGGTTTAACAAGCAATAGCTACTGTTGTGATTTAATTATTTATATTGTGTTTGAATTTTTTCCTGACTCGTGGTTCTTTTTCTATCTGGAGAGAGGGTCTTCCTTCACTGTTTTATGGTTCCTGGCACTGTCCTTTTGGGGTGTACTTCCAAGAGGTAGGATGCAAGCATGGCACTGGATTTTTGTACTGCCTTTCTGGGGGGCATGTGATCTTCCCTTAAATCTGGATGATTCCCTTAGGATATCTTGTGAAGTGAGTGAGACTAGCTGGTATCTTTAAGTGGTGCAAAAGGATCTAAGGATTGCTTCTCCTGGGTGTGCTCTTTCTGGAGAGCTTAAATGACCTCTCTGCTAAAGGGTTTCACTTTACGAGCAAGAGTTGACTGCTGATAGTTATCATTGCATTTTAACTATTTGAATTCCTCAAGGTGCTCTGGCACCCTGCCTGATTTGTAACTCTGGCTTGCAGGTATTTTTAATCTAATGATTGGTATTTAGGGCAGATTTTTGCAAGCAAAGAAGCTTTTTGTATTGTTGTACAGGTAATACTTGACTTACAACAGTTCATTTAGTGACCATTCCAAGTTACAATGGCACTGAAAAAAAGTGACCTATGACCATTTTTCACACTACAACCGTTGCATCTTCCCCACTGTCACTGTCAGGCAAACAGAAGTGCCCCTCAATGTGAGTGACATCGAGTTGTCATGCCCACCCAGTCACATGAGCACCAAGCATGCCCACCAACTAAGCCATGCCCACAGAACCGGTTGTTAAAAAATTTGAATCCCGCCTCTGTGCTTGCCTGTCTAATTTTTTTCTCCATCAGGGAGAGAGAGTGAGAGACAGAGAGAGACAGAGAGAGAGAGAGACAAAGACAGAGGGACAGAGGGAGAGAGAGAGAGAAAGAGAGAGAGACAGAGACAGAGAGACACAGGGACAAAGACAGATAGAGAGAGAGAGACAGAGAGAGAGGGAGTCATAGAGAGTCATAGAGAAACAGAGGGACACAGACAAATACAGAGAGACACAGAGAGACAGACACACAGAAAGAGACAAAGACAGAGAGAGAGACAGACAGGCAGACAGACAGAGAAATTTACCTGCTGAAAATGCCAAAAAGGCTTCTGGTTCCACAAAGTCTCCCTCTTCATTCAGGAAGTTGGAGGGGTTGAATTCATTGGGGAACTTCCACTGAGATTCATCATGATGGGCAGACTGGATGTTGACAAAAATCATAGTGTCCTGCAGAAGCCAAGAGAGGTAGGTCACGTTGAGGAAGGCCCTTGTTGTTGGAAATGGTTCTGAATGAGCTTCTAGATAGACAGACCCCATTGAGATGTGCTTGAAGAATGGCAGATGCAGGTGAAAAAAAAAAATAGAAGGCGGACTGATGGATCAAGCAAAGCAGAACTCGGAAGTAGGAAAAAGGATTTCCATTCCATAAGTGAGAATGCTAGAGATTTAAGAAACATATTTGCAGCAAGGGCTTTAGAAAACCTTGAAATGGTGTCACTCTGCAAAGCACTCCACGGGGGGAAAAATGGTCAATAGGTCTATGGTACGTTCAAAAGAAAGAGAGAACAAGATTGATCTCAATTCTTGCTCTCTCTTGCTCTTATACAGGCATAAGCCAGGAAGACACAGGTGGACACACTCAGATTCACCAACACTTCACTTCATGGGAAACAATCAGTTTTCTGGAAGACTTCTTTTTTACCTTGGGAATTTTATATCCCAAAAGCTGCACATCTGTAATGGAGACGTGATGAATTCCAAGAGGAGCAACATTTGAAACAAGTTGGATTTCATGAATGACGGCATTTGTGAAGGGCAATTTTTTTCTGTCTTCATATCTCAAGATTGCCTTGTTTCCCAGAACTGTGTCTATTTCCTTCCAGCATTTCTCTGAAGACCAAACAGATTAACAGAGTTGGAAGGGACCTTGTGGGTCATCTAGTCCAACCCCCCCCCCCAAGCAGGAGATCCCCCCATGTCTGACAAATGGCAATCCAGTTTCTTCTTGAAAGCCTCCAGTGATGAAGCGCCCACAATTTCCGAAAGCAACTTCTGTTCCATAGGTTGATTGTCCTCACTGTCAGAAAATTTATCCTTATGTTCAGGTTGAATCTCTCCTTGTTCAGTTTCCATCCATTATTCCTTGTCTGGCCTTCAGGTGCCTTGGAAAATAGCTTGACCCCTTCCTCCTCTCTGTGGCAGCCCCTCAAATACTGGAAGACTGCTATCATCTCTCCCCTGGTCCTTCTCTTCACTAGACTAGCAAGGCCCAGTTCCTGTAACCGTTCGTCATATGTTTTAGTCTCCAGTCCCTTCATCATCCTGGTTGCTCTTCTCTGCACTCTTTCTAGAGTCTCAACATCTTTTTTATAGTGTGGTGACCAAAACTGGCTTTATAGATGTGGTCTTGCTAAGGCTTTATAGAGTGGTATTAGTACCTCCCTTGATCTCAATTGTATCCCTCTGTTAATGCAACTTGGGTTGTGTTGGTTTTTTTGGCTGCTGCTACACACTGCTGGCTCCTATTTAGCTGGTTGTCCACTTAGACTCCAAGATCCCTCTCACAGTTACTGCTATTGAGCCTGGTTTCACCCAGTCTATATGTGTACTTTTGGTTTTTCTTGCCTAAGTGGAGGCCTTTACTTTTCTCTACATTGAATTTCATTTTGTTAGATAGGGCCCAGTGTTCATGTCTTCCAAGATCCATCCAAACAGCTCAGTTACCTTCTGAAAAGCATTTCTCTGGTTTCTTTTTTTTTTAAATAAACTTTATTGATTACAAAACCAAAACATCAAACAAACACAACACACAGAAGAAGAAGAAAAAAGAAATAGAAAAAAATGAAAATGATTAAAAACTAACAATTCTATTATCGACAGTCTATGGTTCCTTGTTTGTTATCAATATTGGTAATACATTTACAAATATATCTTATTGCAAATACATAATTACTACCTCTTTTACATTTTATGTTATTTACTAATTTATTTTCTATTTTTGTTCTATCCAGTCATACCAGCGTTCCCAGCTTCTATAATATTCTGATGTTTCTTTTTCCTTGAGTGCTAAGGTTAACTTATCCATCTCTGCGCAGGCTGTTATCTTCTGAATGACCATTTCCTCTGTTGGAATATCTGCTTATTTCCAACACTGTGCAAAGGTTGTTCTGGCTGCAGTAAGAATGTGCAGTATTATATATTTGACTTTTTTAGAAATTTATCTATTAAATATCCCCAATAGGAAGAATTCTGGTTTTAATTCAATTTGCTCTGCCATTATTTCCTCTAACCATTTTTTTATTCTGTGCCAATATCTTTGGGCTTCAGTGCAGGACCACCACATGTGAAAGAATGTTCCGTATTTTTTTTTTATGTTTCCAGCAATCCGGATTCATGTTAGGAGACATTTTCGCTATTCTCGAGGGCGAGAGATGCCATCTATAAAAATTTTTATAGGCATTTTCTTTATATGTTGCTGATTTTGTAATTTTATTATTCCTTGTCTAGACCTTTTCCCATTCTAATAATGTAATGCTACTTCCTATGTTTCTACTCCAAGCTATCATGTTGCCTTTGACTACTTCCTCTTCTAATTCCATCTCTAATAAATAATTATAAATTTTAGTTATATTTTTTTTATCTGGACCTAATAGGATTTTATTTAATTGTTGTGCCTTAGCATAAATTCCAAAATTTTTCTTGTCCTGGCTATATCTATTTTGAATTTGCAAGTAAGCCC